GTGTGTGTGTGTGAGAGAGAGAGTGTGTGTGTGAGGGAGAGAGCGAGTGTGTGTGTGTGTGAGTGAGGGTGTGTGAGAGTGAGTGTGTGTGAGAGAGTGAGTGTGTGTGAGAGAGTGTGTGTGTGTGAGAGTGAGTGAGTGTGTGTGAGAGAGTGAGTGTATGTGTGAGAGTGAGTGTATGTGTGAGAGAGTGAGTGTATGTGTGAGAGAGTGAGTGTATGTGAGTGAGAGAGTGAGAGTGTATGTGAGTGAGAGAGTGAGAGTGTATGTGTGAGAGAGTGAGTGTATGTGAGGGAGAGTGAGAGAGTGAGAGTGAGAGTTGCACATGTATGAATCTGCGGCTCCCAAGTGCCTGGAGAGAGAAGGCAAACACATGAACATAAACATATAACAGTGTTACTGACTGCCGTAACAAACCAATAACATGTTCACACCACGTTTGGTCTTTAATCATTAATCATTGGTGTGTTTGTTCATTTACTGACGAGTGGTTTTAAAATACTTCATTACTCACAGTGACAGTATTACACCGTTCGTCTGCTCTTCTGGACCTTCATTTCTGAACTGAAATATTGATACAGTGAATCCAATAAGTATTTGTTCACTTCAAATGTGCCGGAATCTGCGCTGCATTACATTTTAAACTGAACAAACCGGTTTGCGTATCTTTCTTTATAACAAATGACATTTATTTTGCAATTTTTTTTCATCTCATTTAGTGGCATTCAGACATTTTGAATGTGTTTTAAGACTTCTTAGGGCCGTGGTATTTACTCCTAATCATCATCTCAGTCTTTTCTGAACAAACTAAAATCCCTGCTAACCTGACAGTCGCACAAAGCACAATGATTATCATCCAGATGTCTTTTTAAAACGTTGTAACTGGCATTAAATGCTTTTTAAACGTTAACCAACATCGCAGACGCCTAATAAAACGCAGAGATTCGTTTGAATCGACTCAAAGATTCGATGTTTCGAGTCACGGATGATCTGCTTGTTCATTGGCGTTTCAGTTCTGGAATCTCTCTGTGTTTGAAAGCAGAATTCATGTTTAATGTAATGTTTCGGTGCAGAATCGCTCGCTGATGGCATTCATTGTGGAGTTCGTTACAAAGTGATTCGTGTTCAAGTGATTCATTCTTGCTGTTTCAACAGAATCGAACAAATCTCACTGAGATGACTCGTTTGGAAGCATCTCGATTCAAGACTGTTGTTTGTAAATTGAAAAGATTTGTGCCAAATGAATGTATATTAAACTAATGACATTATAATCAAGCCTTTTCCGTCATTTATTCATATTAAATGTGTTTGATGGAGTCCTAATGTCCTCTAGATGGCAGCATGAAGCAGCAGATGAGCTTCTTTGTCTTTAATCTGATGTTTAAGAAGAATCTCCTTGCATGAAATATGAAATATACTTTCTATGGTTACAAAAAAAGCCATTTTCCATAACATACAGCTGATTAAAAACAGGAAAAATGTATAATAGCATGAAATAGCAATGCAAAGATAAACACAACGATGTCAAACTATTGTTTTGCACAACAGAAATTGTAATGAATGCACTGCATTTAACTGCAAAATATGACAAGCGTGAGGGCTTTTTTCCTGAGAAAACAGTTCAAGCTTCTCCCTTCATTGCATAGTGACTATTGTATGTCCTTGTGATTTAATTGTGTTCACATGATTCCCGACAGATGTTAACATTACTTTTTAGTTTAAAGGACAGAATTCAAACAGACAAAAGTGAAGAAAGCATGTGTATTATTTGGCTTTTGATTCAAAACCTGATAAAGACACTGTGACAACTTGCCCCAATCTCCTCTATATAACATCATAATGTGCTTGTGCTGAAATTATCTGTTTATTTATGTTTATTTATTTATATAAAAAAGTACTTTACATAAGCATGAAGCATTTTTAAAAATGCATCAAATGGTACATAAGAAATAAAAATAACAATAAAAAGAAAAAAACAAATTATTTATTAGAATTTATGTAAATGACACACACACACACAGGATTGTTTCAATAGGGTTTATTCTCTTATTCTTCACTGAATCATCCAGCTTTGATTCTAGAAACCCCTGAACTTGTCACTCTTAATTAGTTTATTTTTAATCTAAATAATTTTTACAATCTAAACAACTTATTTGAAAGTGCATCATCATCTTAAAATATTATAATATAATTATAATAAAATATTATTTACTATTTATTTTGTATTATTTATTAATAATAAATGAACAACAACAAAAACCATTTTAAAATAAATGGATATAAAATATAAAAATGTATATTATAATAATATAAAATTATTATTTATTATGCAGTATATATAACAAAAATAATATTAATATTATAGCATTAATTATAACATTAGCATCATTATTATTTATTAATAAATTTAATTTTTTTTTTAAAATAATATACAATTATTATTATGCGTTAATAATATTTATTATTCATTAATAATAATAATATTATTTTTAATAATACAATGTTTTTAAATTATGTAGTATAATAATAATTATTATTATTATTTTACATAACCAATTAATATGCATTTGTTGAATATTTAGTGATTGTAGGAGGTCACTGATTTGAATGTTTTGTCCTCATCACTGAATCGAGCTCTCACACTCACACATGAACAATAGCACTCGGCCAAGCAGGACTGCTGGTGCTGATGCTGCTGGTGCTGATGCTGTGGGCGGGGTCATCGGGCGTTGCCATAGGTACCTGGAGCTGTGCCAATACATTTGCATGTATTTAAATTGCTCATGAATAATTTACATCACAGCAGCCTCCCTCCTCATCCGTCACTGCAAACACCAGTTTCAAGCGTTACACATGAGACACCATTACTTACAATCCAACACTCTCTCATGTATTACACAGAAGATCCTCGTTTTATGCTGTAATCAGCCAAATAACAATATATTGATATTAAGATTATCATTACTGCTATTCATTTCTTTCATTTGGCATGCAATAAAAAACAAAAGGGCTAAATGTAGAATTTTTATAAGAACTTGGTGTTTGTTGCATGCACTGTATTTGGTTTATTGGCTCACTGTACTTCACAGGAAATGATGTCACAGTTGTGGAAACAGCTGACTGGAGGTTGTCAGAAAGGGGCGTGTCCACAATGGAATGTAAATCATCTTTATTTATTCTTTAAAGGGCCAGTGGCTCAGAATCTTCCACACATGCACACCAGCAGATTGATTTGGAAATCACACAAAGCACAAAAACGTCTGAGCAATATTAAAATATTAATGCATTTTTTAAATTCTAATATTAAGACATATTCTAATATTCAGATGTATGTGTTTGATATTCAAATACTACACGATACTTTTATTCAAAAAAGCTGAAAGAGAATTCCCTGTTCAAAGACAATTATGAAAGAAAACTGTGATTTTTTCAATAACCTTGTGTAACTACTAAAACATAACAAATGTTTAATTTTTATATATTTTTATTCGAAAGCAATAAGAACAAAGTTGATCAGCTTTTTTTTCTCTTGTATCAATATCTGACATTTCCAAATCAACACTCATCATAACATTAATATCAGAATTGTGAAACTTTATATTAGTGCTGTCAAACATTAATCGCGATTAATCGCATCTAAAATAAAAATATTTGTTTGCATAATATATGTGTGTGTTCTGTGTATATTTATATGCATATATAAATACACACACATGCATGTATATATTTCAGAAAAAAGTTATGTTTATATATTAAATATATTTATTTATAATATAAATTAAATGAATATACATATAGTCATGTAAATATTATATATACACAAAATATATACTGTATGTATGTGTATTTATATAATAAATATACACAGAACACACACATATATTATGCAAACAAAACATTTATTTTGGATGTGATTAATCACGATTAATTGTCTGACAGCACTACTTTATATATATATTAGCAGTTGACTCGTTTACTCTGGTCTTAAAGTTGTTTCTACTAATTAATCCATGCATTATTTATGTCAGTGTATATAGGATAAGTCTTCATGTCTTGGCTGTTAATGAATGAAGGATTAAGGTATTAGACACTCTGATCTCACACTTATAAATGACTGAATGCCTTTGCCATTACATGCAGAATATGCATGCACGAACACACTTTACAATCAAATACCTAAAACCTACTTATATAATGGCATAAACCGCAATATCAAATACTCACACCAGACAGTGTCATATATCATACGTAGAAGCTTTATTGAAAATCATCACACATTTAGTATTACTCAAGTACACAATGATGAATTACAGCTTTACTGATACGCAGTTGCTCATTGCAGTATTAATTATTGAATCAGGTGAATGAAGCGTTTCTGAGGGTCATTGCATTAGTGAATAAGTGTTATTAAAATATTAATTTATAGATTTTGTAATACATCCAGAGAGCTTGAGGTGAATGTGTGTGTGTGTGTGTGTGTGTGTGTGTGAGTGAGTGAGTGAGTGAGTGAGTGTGTGTCTGTGTGTGTGTGTGAGTGTGTGTGTGTGTGTGTGTGTGTGTGAGTGAGTGAGTGTGTGTGTGTGTGTGTGTGTGTCTGAATCTGTGTGTGTGTGTGTGTGTGTGTGTGTGTGTGTGTGAAGTAGAGCTGTTATGTGCATATGTTGAAATGCAACTCTTTGTTTAACGTGTTTAACAAAATAACGGCATGTGCATTACTAGATTCACTTACCTGGTTTAATGTGCTTCTGCAGGTGATGCTGGATATCAGCAAATATCCACAGTGTTTTAGTTTTCTGCACTGAAAGTCAGTAAAAAAAAATGAACAAGATCATAAAAACAAGAGATAGGACCGATTTAAAACAAAAATCTTGTTTCTGATGGTGTTTGTTTGTTTGTTTCCAGGTGAGGTTATAACGCCGAGTTCATCCTCCAGCCGATTCCAGCTTCCTGTTCAGTACAGATACAGGAAGTGACATCAGTGAATCTTCAGGGCGACACAGGATCAGGTCAGAGTTTGTCTTTCACATCTTTACTGCGGAAAAGAGCATGAAAACATTAGTCCATCATTCTGTGTGTATAATAGTGTTTATATGACTCAAACAGATTAAATGACAGAAAAAATGCATTACATTTTATTCACACTCTTATAAAAAAATAGCATAGAATTACCCTTAAAACACACCATTGGATTTTAAGCAATACCATGAAACGCTTTAAATTTTAAAATCATAAAATATTCATATAGTTACCAAACAGTATGATGTTATTTCTCAAAATATCTTTCATCATCTGAGGGCATTGGGGCATTTTCTAGTTCAGCGGTCAAAATATCATTTTTAAAACAGGGACAGTATTTTTTGAATGTTTTTGTTTTTTAATTGTTGTTGTGGGTTCCATATACTACTATTATAATTAATAATTATTGTGATGTTTGCAGGTCAAACTGACCATAACTGGTTTTAATACAATGCATTAAAAATAAGACTGAAAAATAGTAAATAGTAACCATTGCAATTAGCAGTAAAACAGAAATTTTAACACAAAATTATGTCTTTACAAAATTAAAACGCATTACAAAAATAATAATTATGAGATAAATAAAACTGTATTTAAAAGAATTGTTAACAATTTCTAATAATATTTTCTCAAACTGTGACTATACAGTAATGTTTGTGCTTTTGGAAGTGTATCTTTACTATCTCTAATTACAATTAGGCTTATTATTTTACATTTTAGACTCATTTTGAGTACAAGTTCTGTGCATTCTTGCAAGTGTAATTGTTTTATTCATTTTAATTATTTTTCTTTTTATTCATATCAGGCTGTTCTTTCAGCCGCATGGTATAGTTGAGATGTGTGTGTGGGTCAGTCGTGACTCGTGAGTGACAGATAAAACAACAGTCGTAGTTTTTATTGTATTAATTTACCATGTTAAAACAAAGCTTTAATGTCTCATGAAACTGCTTTCACTGTAAAAAGCGAATATAGGCATTTGTTTGCTATTTCTACAATATTTGAAATGTTTGGGACATCTTGAGAGTGAGTAAATGGGTGAACTGTCACTTTAATGTAATAAGTTTATGTTTGTAGTTTTGATCATGTGACGCTCATGAAAGCGAGACGTTTGGAGGTCTGTGTGTCTGCTTGTATTGTCCCGAGGGTCGTGTTATTTGGGTCTCAGGGGGTTTCTTTGCCCCAGAACCAGAGGTCACGTTAGGAACCCAGACAGAGTGTGTGTGTGTGTGTATGTGTGTGTGTGTGTGTGAGCGGCCAGACAGACTGTGCAGTGACCTGAGCCTATAGACAGACAGAGAGGTCGTTGTCCAGGGTGATAGGATCTGTGTGTGTGTGTGTGTGAGAGAGAGAGAAACAGAGAGAGAGAGTGTGTGTGTGTGTGTGTGTGTGTGAGAGAGAGAGAGAGAGAGTGGGTGTGTGTGTGAGGGA